TGAACCACGTCCACGCGCAGAACCACCCCGCGATGCAGCGCCAACTGGAGCAGAACCAGTACCCGACGCTCCAGGCGGCGTCGCAGGACTGGATGTTGAACCGGCCGGAGCAGGAGCAGACAACGATGCGGCCGGTAATGATGCACCGTCACCCGGCTCAGGAGGGCTGACTCCTCCAGGCGAGGCAAGGCTGTCGTCCGCAGGCGCATCCTCTGCGGCAGGAGCAGGGTCTGCGGAGTTGGTCCCAAGGTCACGGTTGTGGACGGTGGAGATGTCCTCGAGAAGCTCGAGAACAGACGGATCCCCGACGGCATGGGAGAAAGCGCATCGACCGAGTGGTTGGTGGTGTAGTTGCGCACATCTCGGATCATGTCGTCGTGGTCGGCGTAAGTGAACTCCCCGTCGTCAAACCCACGCTCGTCCAACGAAGGCGGCGCGGGGGTCGTTTCGATGAAGATAACGTTGCGACTCTCCCGCACCCGTCTCGTCTGAGCGTTATAGATACGGTAGGATTTGCTGTCCAGGCTGTAGCCCACCAACCGTCCTTCCCATGCACGGCTGTCCGATTTCTTAGTANACGCTCGTCCAACGAAGGCGGCGCGGGGGTCGTTTCGATGAAGATAACGTTGCGACTCTCCCGCACCCGTCTCGTCTGAGCGTTATAGATACGGTAGGATTTGCTGTCCAGGCTGTAGCCCACCAACCGTCCTTCCCATGCACGGCTGTCCAATTTCTTAGTGTGCGTCTCTTCATGCACAAACGCCCGTGCCCCGACCACCCGAAGGTGTCCAAGGTGCGCGTCCGTGCCAAAGAGCGCCTTGTACGGCGTTCCGTTGTGCAAGGCTGCATGAGGAGTCCGGTTGCTCAGGTAGACCGCCGTCTGCATCAGTTCGCCCCAAGGCTCGGCAGCGTAGAATCAGCGAGCATGCAACGCACGATGTTCATGATCGTTCGGCCGGCACGCTCATTCGCTCCGATCTGATGGGGGGTGTTTGGAGACGCAAATTGCAGCTGAATGCCAACGTCCAGGCAGTACTGTCGGTAAGCCGCGTTCGTAAACTCGGTCCCCTTATCCGCACGTAGCACATGGATGCGTGCGCTACGGGGGATGACGGTTCCCTTGTTGAACAACTCGAGGGCGTCAATTGAGCAAGTCTTATCCTTCATGAGAACGACCTCCTTCCACTTGGTGTGTTGGTCGACAAACTTGGTGGCGTATTTGAAACCGCCCAACGCAGTAGGCGTGAAAGGGCCAAGGGTGTCAACGAAAACGAGCTGAAAGGGGGTTGAAACGCCGTAGACGGCGTGCTTGGGGTGCGGCTGTTGAGAACTCTTACCAAGAGGGCACGCACTGCAGTCCTGCACGTCGCCACGGTAGTCGATGCCGCTGGCCGCCTGCTGCCTCAACACATCCAAGCTCTTGTTGTTGATGTGCCCCATGCGCCGGTGCCAAAGATCAGCAGTCTCCACCCTCAAGGCAAGTCCGTCAGGAGTCTCCCCGGGGGTCTGTCGACCGCCATTCTCGGCGCCGAGCTTGATGGTGATGGAGCAAGTGATCTTCCCGGTGTTATCCACTCCTTGGATTTTCATCGGTACGACTGCGTCCGCCGATTCCAGCCTGGGGTTGTCCGGATAAAAGAGGGATGCCACGCCGTTCGACAGCGCAGCGGTGACGGAGAAGAGGTTGGTCCCCAGTCCCGGAACTAACACGACACGAAAAGAAACTTGCCTGTCCTGGCCGCTGTCGTCAGTGACCGTGCCGAAGAGCACCCCCGTCGTAACGCCGTGAAGAACGTGCTGCCCGGCGGTAATGATCGGAAGCGGAATCCGAAGGTCTTCGATGTCGCGCATGTGAGCCCGTACGCCAGGCGTAAGCGCAGGATCGAGATAGTTGTCCGTCGCTCCGCTATCCACCAACATCAGGATAGACGATCCATCGGAGCGAGGAAGAGCCGGGGACGTTTCCTCCGCAAAAGAGGCCATAAAGGCACCGAAGTACCCAGAAGGCAGGTGGTGGTCCCGCGCAGGAGATGCGGACGAGGCAGACGCGGAAGCCGCCTGCGAGGCGGCAGGGGCTGCAGAGGCGCCGAGAACGTTGAAAGAGAACCCGAACGTGGTGGGTTCCGAAGGAGCCTGAGACGCCTGGGGCGCTGCCGCCTGGGGCGCTGCCGCCTGAAACGGCTGCGCCAAGTGGGCGCTCCCAAGGTGGGCGAAATTGGCCGGGCCAGCTGCCTGAAGCAGGGCCAGGTTCGCAGCCAATCCTTGAAGCTCCTCTTGTTTCTTCTTGTGTTGAGCCTTGCACTCAGCATCGCTGTGCGTCGTTGTCCTGTGGAAGGAGCACCACTTGGACTGCCCAGTCCCGCCACCTCCGCGCTTTTTGCGCGGCTTCGGCTTCTTGCCTTTCCTTGCGCGGGACGGCGGCGCAGACTTCGGACAGTCACGCTGGAAGTGCCCAAACTCCTTGCAGCGGTGACACTGGTCGCTGCTGGATGCGGCCATCGCGGCTCCCCTGCCCGAGACCGCGGGTCCCGCCGCCTTGCGCGACTGCTGGTCCACAAAGAAGCGGGTGGCCGTGTCCTGCAGATCGTCGACCGACGTAAACTCGTTGCGGTAGTGCATCTCCCGGATGAAGTGGAACTCCGGGACGGATGTCAGGCCCGAGAGCGTGATATCCAGGTAGACGTCGTCGGATACTGTCTCCCCCAGTGTCTCAAGGCGGAGCCTCAGCTCGCACGCCTTGGAGAAGAAGTCGATGGGATCGCCACCCGCAACGTGCTTGAGGCCGAAGAGATCCCGGTGGCACGCACGCCGAGCTTCTTGGGTGCAGGCATCAAACCGCGCGTTCAGAGCTGCCCAAGCTGACTGTCCGTTGCCGTCGGTGCTGGTGCCCGCATTTCGGTGAGCCTGGACGGTGAGCCGCGCCGAGCTGGAAGTCGCGAAGAACAGGAGAAAGTAGAGGCGGCTATTGGCCTTGTCCCAGGCGACAACGTCGGCCTGAGTAGCCGCCAGAGGGTCCGGCCGAGCCGATCCGCGCAAAACCGTAAGAAGCTCTGGTGCATGGATGTTGATGACATGCTCAAAACTCTCCTTCCACACGCGAAAATTAGACCCAGAGCATTGTCCTATCGAATCCAGTAAGCGGTGGAGCCCAGAACTAGAGCTTAACGAGTCCGCCATAGCCTAGAGACAGGAACACTCGATGGGTGTCTTGAAAAGTCCTGCACCCGCAAGACGCCCGGATCACCTGAGAAGGGCCGGCGCGCCGGAAGTGTGCGGTGCAGGTCTACTCAGGGGTAGAGTGAAAAGTAGGCCGCAGAACCGGAGCTCGCGACCCGTGTCCGCCGGAAGCTCGCAAGCGTCCGCCCGGACGACTGCGCTCTCGTGAGCACAGTTGTGACCAACCGCAGTTGACGAGGCTGCGGTGATGTGGCGAGTAGTCAGCTCCGGCCACTTAACTGGTCCTGCAGGTACACAGCGAGGTGCACTGCGTAGTGTCACGCGTCTTTCAGCGCACACTGTACGCGAGCTAGCACGTGTTAGCTGTAGCAGCGGCCGGCTACCAGCTAGCAGTCGTATCCTCAACCTACACACGCGACCAAGCCGGCAACAAGGTATGTGGAAGGTGTCTTTCTTCTCGACGAGAAAGAGACCCGCAAGTACCAAGGGATCGTGGGATCACTCATGTACATTGCGCAAGTGTTGAGATACGACATCATGTACGCGACAGGTCACCTGGCTCGCCCGATGGCGAAACCCAGCAAGGTTCACACGGTGACGGCAAAGCAAACCCTTCGTTACTTGGCTGGAACGATCGATTTCAGCATCACTTACAAGAAAGGTGGTTTCAAGCTCGCGACTTTCTCGGACTCCAACTGGGCGAACAACCCTGACAACGGGAAGTCCACCTCGAGCTACCTGACGATGCTGGCGAACGCTCCCATGAGCTTCAGGTCAGGGCTGCAAGGTCTGACAGCAATGTCCACCATGGAAGCAGAGCTGGTCGCGTCGGCGCTGGCGATGAAGGAAGCAGTGTTTTGCTCCAACATGATGACGGAGCTTGGATTTGGGAAAGAATTTGCACAACTGCCCGTGTACTGCGATAACACGGCTACTCTACATGCATTGGGGAACCGGTCCTTCAGCTCGAGGACCAAACACATCGCGTTGCGGTTCTTCTTTATTCGAGAACTGGTGACGGAGGGGAAGATCTCCATCCATTACGCCCCGACGGAGGACAACCTCGCCCACATCGGTACCAAGCATTTCAACAAACACAGGTTCAAACACCTAATGGACCGCATCAACAACTTCGACGTCAACGAGTTCACCGCCGTCGAATATAAAGGAAAATGAATGATTTGTTTGTTTGAATTTTCTGTTTCGGATGCAGTTTACATTTTCATTTTAGTTATGTAGGAAACAAGTACTAACACGTAATTAAAACACGGATGAAACGCATTTACTTGCTTGAAATTATCATTATTTTGGTACAATTCAGAGCGACTTTCATTGAGGAGGAGTGTTATGGAAATGTTAGCACATAGCCATTATGAGTCAATGTTCAGTAGCACTGCACTTGTACGTCGTAGATCATCGTAGATCTGTTATGTGCTAGTTGGTATGTAACGCGCGTTGTATATGCGGAGGAATTACTTCTGTAGGATTCTTTGTTGCCTTGACGAGTAGCTCACTCTCTCTCGTGTGGATCCTTCCTGACTGTCTGGCATCGTAGCCATCCTGGTCATCTCCAGTACCCAGCCATCTTCTGGACTCTTGCATACTCTGCGGTTTATCTGTGTGTGTTGGCCACAAAAGCGCCAGTGTTTACAACATCTTGTCACCTTCTTCATCACACGGAAGCACTCACGTCTTCCAGGGCGTCCACTACACTAGTGTCACCTACTTGATTAGCGTCAAGGACACAGCCTCTCTGCCACCTTGCTGGGGTATACCACAATATCCATAATATTTTACATATTTATCTTTTTATTTATTTTGGCCTACGAAGCATTGGGGGGGATTTCGACGATGAAACAGCCTTCCTTGCTTCTCGCCGCCTGTGATGAAGGCTTACTACCTTCTTACCGAGAAATTCGGAGACGGTTTACCTTCGAGCTGGTTCATTGTCTGTCCGTACAACTCGCTCGTGATGTTTCCAAACGTCATGGACTATTACTGGTCGACCAATTTCGACCACGGCCAAAAGGTTGGGATTTCAGTAGTAGTAAAAGTAGTAGTTCTGGAGAAAGCGAAACCGGTGGTGGTATTGATTGAGGGTGGTAATTCGTATGGGAGTGACGTAGGAGAAAGAAAGGAGAATGACGACGAACGCGATGATGCAGAAGTAAGAAAACATGACGTGGAAGAGAGCAAAGGGTTTGAGCCAGATGACCTTCCTCACAACAACAAACCCCGCAGGAGGACTTGGAGAGGACCTGCCAAAAGTAGTAGGAATATTGATGAGAGTGAGTGGCGATTATATAGTAAATATATAATGCAAAGACGATGAAGAAAGCAATCCAAAACGAACGCGCATTCAAAGCACTGTATACTGCTGTAGTAGTAGCCATGGGAAACACGTGCAGGGTTCCTCTGTTGTTATTGCTACGGTATCTGTCTTTAATCCGGAGAGTAGCGTTAATTCCTCCAAGACGTTCCGGTCAAAGGGTCCCAGATCGCGGCCTATATGCGCGTGTGTTGTCCCTATTGGTTATGGCGACAGTCCCCCCAGTTTTCTTTCGTGGTGAGACGTGTAGACGTATGTGCTTCAGTGTATGTAGAGTACTACACTGTGTACTTTTCGTACTACTACAACATCCAGGATCACATAGGAGGGCTAAACAGGGCTTTTTCTTCTTTTTGTAAGCTTTCGTGCCCCACCTTCTTCCTCCTGCGATGCGCGCTAATTTTTATTTTTATCGCAAGAAGAGTCCAGCCGTCCCTTTCCTCGTCAACGGTGCTAACGTCGAAGTTTGGCCCTTAAAAGAAGCATTTGCGTTTTCCACTGCATGCACTGAGTCTTGCTGAGACCGACGTATTTTCATTGGTCAGAGGGTTAGCGTGGTCGATGCTAATAAGAAAGACACACACAAGGCACAGTACGTACATAGTACGTGTTTGAATCCCAGAAGGGACTGACTGTTAGAAGTAAGTGTAGAACAGTTAATAAAATTGCTGGGGAGCGTTGGACATGAAATGTAGACGTGCAAGTAGCAGGGAACACGGGGTGATTGGAGGGTAGGAGTCCATAGTGGACGCAAAGGTAGAGAGTGGGTAACAAGGTGGTTTGATATGGGTATCGGTAAATTACGTGGTGCAAGACTTGCCGAAAGAAGAAGTAGGGGAACATAGAGAACGCTTTAAGCAATTCCTGAGAGGGAGGTTTAAGGGGAGTTGGGAAAACAGGTGAATGGATTATTGTAGTGAAAAAGAAGTAAATATGTGTGGCATGAAATGGTGCAGAAGGCCAACGGAGACCTTGCGGGGAACGAAAAGCAGAGGTGGCAAGGGACATACAGTATGTAGATGTCAGCGATATTTCGCTGTGCACTAGCAGCAGTACGATGCTACAGATGCCAGGAGGCTGTGTAGCCTACCTCAGAGGTTCACACTCTGTGCGTCTCCAACCGCGAGAGACTTGGAATGGAAAGATGAAGATGCTTTTATTAGTTGCTGACTCCCGAATCAGATGTTGCTGGTACTGAAGAGGAGTGAGAGTGG